TACTATATCTATGTCTGAAAGCCAACTGTTCTGACAATGTCGATCGGGTCCTGAAATAATGACCAGATCGGATTTTTATTCAGATCTCCTGCTGTATGGATTAATGTAAAGAAGAGGAAAGCCGGCTACTGAACCTTCAAGGGTACCTGTCATCAATGGAAGCTCGGTACAAATGCTAGGTAGCTATCTTCTGAATGGCTATTTTCATATTATTCCTCGGTGAAGTAATGGTTCACAAACCTTTATGAAATGAACAGACCGTTCCTGATCTAATAATACCGGTCTTGAGAGCCTATCTGTCCCGAACACCTAAAGTCCCTTGAATACTGAGTTACTCTCTCCTACTTACCTAAAGCACAGATATTTTCTAGGTAGAATAAATGTATGTAAGCTTGGGATCCTGGTTAAATGAACACAAAGTTCCTGATCTAATAATAGTAGATTTTAAATAAAAGCTGTCTACCAGGATCACCGAGAGGCCCTGACGCGTGCGTTTCGTCCACAGCTCATCAGAGGGGAACCGATGTGCGGGAAATAACCGATATTTAATAGAGGAACGTGAAGTCTAATTGGTGGAATTCGAAAAAGGTCATTATTGTCTTTGCCAATCCTGTTAGTGAATGGGAATGACGTGGATGGAAAGTCTCAATTGATTTATTAGGTTAATTGCTCGTATTTGTATTTGTACATGAGAATAATTTATTATGTTGATTTCATTAACATCAAGTGCAACAGCTTACTTTGCATTATTTAAATACTAGTGAAATCTAGGATATTCGTTTTAAATCATTCAATGTGTCCATGTTGTCTATGTCAATATGTATAAACTAATTTGTTAAATTGCATTTGTAATGTGTTCATTGATACTATGTATTCCCTCTATGTTAAGTATTGAACTTATCAAGTTTGTCTGTAATGCTTATTTCTAATTTATTTTCTCCATTATCCCAGTCTTGTTGAGATGAATTACACATTTTCACAGTGATTATGTTGATTAATGGTACAGAATCTGCAATTTCACAGATAATTGGGGTTATTGTCACAAAATGTTAACAGTAGAAGGAAATGGTCATGTTCTCTGTAAGTGCAAATGTCTGCAATACAGTGGAACAGAACCAATGAATCTAAGTGTAAACAAACAAACAAACAAACAAACAAACAGTTTTTGAGTATCATAATTTTTCAACATTAGAATTATGCATAGTAAAAATGGTTTCATATTATATCAATAATTTCTTATTTTTATTGGAATTCTTTGATAATAAATGTTGATGCTTTTGACTTCCAGTTAATGCTCAATTTCATACACTCCAAGATTTTATACTTGGTATGAAATCTTTGGATATTTTCTAGAATTAATGCATATTAATGCCAGATGTCATGGGGATACGTATTTCTTTGTTTGGAAGATTTACTTAACTGTGGTCACTAAGTATATACTGTATATTTGCTCTGTTAAATGTGAGACCTTTTCAAGTACTTATTTTCGATTTTGTCTCCTCTATTGGAGATTTGTTATAGTAGATTAAAAATCCTAACAGTGACTATATTTGTTTGTAGTAAAGAGTTTGCAGTTTTAAATATAATTGGAATTATTGTTGCAGTATTAACTGTTGCGGGTAATTATCAATAAAAGTTAAGTTTTATCGTATTTAGGGCACTCAATTTTTGTCTTCTTATATAAATTTCTCCAGTTACCTGGGTTACCCCCAGAAAGAGTGTTACCCTTAAGTTCCACCTACTTCTAAATTAGTTATTTTAAAAATAAGTGAGTTAGAGAGTCAGAGAGAGAGAGAAAGTCTCAGAGAGTTAGAGAGAAAGTTAGTCAGAGAATTAGAGAGTGAGTTAGAGAGTTAGAGAAAGTCAGATACCACTGACAGAGAGAGCGAGTAAGAGTCAGAATCAGAGTGAGAGACATAGAGAGTGAGTTAAAGAGTGTTAGAGAAAGAGTGAGAAACAGAGTTAGAGAGTCAGAGAATTAGAGAGAGTGAGTTAGAGAGAGATGAAAATAGATAGGTAGATATATAGTGATTGATAGAGACAGGCAGAGATAGATAGATAGTGATAGATAGATAGACTGGTGAGATAGCAATAGAATTATACGTTCAACCCTTGGGGGTCGTGGGTTTAAACCCCAGCAGGGTTGACTCAGCCCTTCATCCTCCTGAGATACATAAAATGAGTACCATTAAATTGGGTAATAGTAACACCCCCAGGACGTACTTGGAAACTACAGTAATCTGAATGTACCTTTCCTGGTTAAATGCTTTGTTATAATTATATAGATAGTGATAGATAAAGATGGAAATAGATATAGATATAGTGTGTGTGTGTATATACACAATATATACAAACACAAACTTTATATATTGTGTATATATACTATATTTTCTGTAGTGTAGTCGATGCCGTCTTCGGGGACCTGGGCTGAGTAGGGGGGGGCGAGCATAGACAGCGAGCTAAGCTATCATTTCAATGCCGCTCTGTGAAGAATACAATTGGTGCAGCGTGAAGTCACGCATGTGTGTTTTAGACCAATGCTGCTTCTCTACATCATCATTTCGACAAAAAAGGGAGCAGAAACATACATCTCACTCTCACTACATTCGAGTCCCTTTGCACCACGCATAGCCAACCCAAACGTCAGATTTCTCACTTCTATCATATGCTCCAAAGCATGAACCAGAGGGAGCTGCCCCCCTTCAGTACAAAATGGGCCCAAGATCTACAAATTATCCTGACCCCTGCTGATTGGAAAAAAATATATATATTCGCACATAGATCTTCTCTGAACGTATCCACACAGGAGAGCAACTATAAATTAATCTCTCATTGGCACTATTCCCCTTGCGACACTCAACCGCATGTTCCCCAATTCTGGAGACACATGTTGGAGATGCCACCAGCCAAACTGCGATACCGCACACATATGGTGGTTCACAAATTCTGGAAACTAATCACAACCTCCATTAGGGCTATCACTGGTGCACCCCTGCCACTGGAACTGTCCACACTCATTCTTTACCTCTTCCCCCTCCCTAAATTTAAGGCCTCCCTGAGCAGACACCTCCCAACAGCTGCAAATTAGCTTATCCTGTTGTTTAGGAAGCAAGCTAACCAGCCTACAAATAGGTACTGGATGCAAAAGGTGAAATCCATTAGAATCATAGAAGAGTACTGCCACTCCCAAACTCAGAGATACCATCAGCATACAGATACATGGGCTCCATGCGTATCATTCCTCCAACACCAGGTCCAAACTGATTATGCTGTAAATCAGCTCACTGCATAATTGCTGCTAATCTCAACGATACAACCAGTACTGCTCCTGCTCACTCACTCAACACAATCTGACGCTATATTTTCCTATCTGCCCAAGAAGCAAGATTTACTCCCTGTTACATTATTCTGCTAAGCCTGTTCTATAGTTATTGCATGTTGGTTTCAGATGACTATTTAGATGATTTCAGTAACACTGAATCATACAATCTATTATACGGATAAACCTTCTAATGCGTAGGCATATGTTTTTAAAACTACAGCACTGACATTTACCTCAGTCTGGCATACACCCTCACATTAGTTTTGCCTATGGGATCACTATGCTCCAATACTCATTGTCTTGTTTGACATGTTACCCAATATATTGCATGGTTATGCATGTAAAACCGACCTCCGATCTATGACTCACCAAGCCTACATGTCATAACCCTATTAAGCGTCTTGTATAAGATTGATTTATAATGGTCTGTATTCTTGCATATATTCTTAATCAAATAAAAAAAATAAAAAAATGAGCAGAGCCTGCTGTGTTTGCTGCCGGAACGGAGGATAGTTTTTATAATAAGCATTTGAAATTAAAAATATTTGGGGGAAATTAATCTAAAAGCCAAGAAGAAGGCAAGGGGACCTGGAAAAATAGGTTTTATATTTTGACTATAGTGCTCCTTTAATCAAAGTGTCACAATGAGAAGGAGACGTCGCCAGAGAGGGGCAATGTCAAAATGAGCATGTTGGTTCAATGCTCTTCCAGTGCAACTCAGCTGAGGAGCTCTCACATGAGAAAAAGGCCCTGTTTTTGTTCTGCGCCATGCAAGCAAATTTAATGACACGCTTGTTATGCGTTTACTTGTGACTTGTCTCTGTTGTATTCAGAATGGGGATACTAGAGGACAAAAGGGCCAGGAAAGCTTATTGTGCATGTGTTTAAATGCTACTTGTGTGATTGTGTAAATAGATTGGTTTCAGTTGTGTTTGTGCTGTCATATATGTGGCTAGGGCTATAGAGAGTGTGATAGTGTGTGCGTGTATAGGGGGCATAGGGTGTGTATGGGGATGTACCGAGTGTCTGTATAGGGGCTGTAAAGTATGTGTGCATAGGTGATGAAGTGTTTGTAGAGGAGCAATAAATATCCTGAGGGCATTCAATATTTCATACCTTTACCCATACCCATATACTATACCCATAATTAAGATGTAAATGTGCCACTAGGGGGCACAGCGTATATCCTTTCCAAAGACACACTGTATCTCCATCCCCCATAAATGCATTAAACAACCTGTATTCCCCTTAAGAACACACACAGCCCTTATCTACATGCGCACACATAGTACATCATAAACAGCCCCTTCC